TAGATTTTGTTTTCTTCATGCCACGAAGAAATTGTCCGGCATTTTTTCTTTTAATGAATACGCGCTTATAAACTTGTCTAAAGTAAATTTTTGAAGAGATAATAGAAAATTCACTCGCTGGAATGTTTTTAGTATATACTCCCAATGACAGTTGTTTTCTCCAAAACAGCTTAAGAAATAAAGCTTTTTTGCAATTGGACACTGTCAGAAAAGATAGCCACATATCAGATTTTTACTCAAGAACTTCTTTATGAATGATCACCCATCATGCATCACGGTGTGATTCACAGATCACTCAATCGCAAGATCTTATGATCTTATTAGTAACTCTCCTTATTTTCTGCCATACAATTCTCATGAGGTTAGTCGGGAGAATTTGGTTTTGGATCAACTAATAGTCTCTCAATTTATATTTTTCTTTACGTATTCTCATCACTTGCCTCTTTGATACTGTATCCATATTTTAAGGAGAAATTCTGTTTTGGTCAGTCAGGCGAGTTACAAAAGTAAGAACCATCTCGTGTAGGATGATTAAGCGCAACATTCTTAAGTTCCAAGTTCCAATTTTTATTTCCAAGTAAATATCAGGTGGTTATTACTAGGCTGGCTTGCAAATAGCGAAGAGCTAGTCGCGGCAAGCCAGACAATTGAAAAGTAATTTTACATAATAATATTCACATACAATCACAACATGACAGAGGAAAGAGGAAAACTACAGACTAAAGAGACTAGAGACTTCATACCCCACTGCTTACGAGGCTTGGACCTCAGCGCCATAACGTAATTTATACAATTCGCATTAACATTTCGACCAAATTCGAAGATTTCGCGAATATTTAATCAAAGGAGAGGTTATGAAATTTCCTATGATTTTACGACAAAAGCAAGTATAAGTAATCTTTCCCTCGTTTCAAATTAGCGCTTTATCATGTCCGTTGTACGTGAGTTATCAGGGAGCTTCATCAGCAAGAGCGACTCTCCTCTTAAGAAAAACAGCGGATAAAATTGATCGATATTTGTCCTAGAATTTCACCTATGCGTCAATATGTGGATTTTATCTAGTAACCTTTAGAGCTTCGTCTGCGGAACTTCTGAACGGTGGAAATGAAGCGTGAAATGTCGTCGTCGAGGTTCCCGTTCTTAGAAATACGGAAATCACAGGGCAATGTCGCGTTGCTGTTTTGCAGGCACATCAGGAAAAAAATGTACAGAATAATAAAAGGCACGTGTCAGGTCATTGTACCCGTCATTCTGAGAGTCTTGTCTAATCACGTCCTCGTTGCTATTGCTTTGCAGGCGGCTTAAAGTTTCTTTGAAACTGTGTAACTTAATGAAATTACCACATGAAGTTAGAATTTAGTCTCTAAGACAATAACTGGAGAACACGAAAGCCAACGAAACAGTCGCCTTGCAAAAAGCAAAACAAGTTATGCCAATTAACATGTCAGAGTGTTTCAGACCTAGAGAGGAAGTTGGATGAAATGAACGACTGAATAACTTATTTATTCGCTGCAGCTTCCGCTTAATCTGAGTGAAAACAATTTTTCACGATGTTTTTTTTTTTAGTTTCAAGAAAAAAGGAAGTGATAAATTTTTCTTCCCAGAAATAACCGAACGCGGAAGGTTGTATTGTGTGACAATTTTACTATTATATAAGGATTAATTTCCAGTGCATTTGCTTGACAGACACAATGACCTCGGCAGAGGTACTTAATTCAGATATCAAACAACGCGCCCATGTGTCTACAATTCTAATAATGGTATGGTAATGGTGAAACGCTCGACTGTTTTCGTTCGTTTGTTTTGAGCAATTGAGGTGAGTAAGTTATTATTTCTAATTCATTCAGCTCTTGGACTTGATTAAGTTAAAAAATTTTTACTTCGAAATATCACTTGTCCTTACCGATTGCCATTCATTTTCACTGATTTTATTTCTAATAATCTAGCTCATTAAATTAGTGCATCAAAGCAATTCTATAGGTTGACAAGAAAATATAACAGATTTTAGATGAGATCAAATTTTTGGAAAATTAATTTTCACACCTTGATCATTTGCATTGTATCGTCGATTGCATAACATAGTATAGTGAGTTACATTATATGGCGTTGTTAGAAATATTTCAATGTTTATCTCGTTGATATAACAACTATGATATATAAAAAATAAAGATTGTTTTCCGGAATATTTACGAGATAATTTTTGACATATCGAATCAGTTTTGTTTTAGGGCACGATAGTGCAATCTGGACGACTAAATCAACTTTCATTTTTATGTGCAAAGCAAATCATTTAACTGACTTCGTTGTTATTGTATCCCAAACTTTAGACGGGCAATACTGAAGTCATCTATTTTTGTTTGCTTACAAATCTGATGTGGTTTTAGAAACCGAAACTCTTATTATATTTTAACATAATCATCACCATAAATTGACTACGGAATAGAACACACAAGTCCTTCAGCACTTAGGTGAAAAATTAAAATATAATTTTTCACGGCTTCAGCGTCTCGCAAAACGATTTGTTATTTCCTTGCCAATCAATTGGAGGGAAACTATAATCAAACAGCTGCGTGCGTGCGTGCGCCGCTTCAACACACGCGGAAATGTAAAGTGGACAACCATGTTTTGCAAACCACAAAATTATTCTACACAAGCGAAGCGGAAAATGGTCCAAATTTTGTTGATGCTTAAACCATCTAATGCGCCGTGGCCGAGTAAATGTTTTGATAACTCCGACAATAAACGTAAACTTCCGGCACTCGGCTTCGTAGTAATCACGTGACACGACTCAAGGCGGAAGTACGCACTAAGATCAACAGATAGTTCGATAGTTTCGCTTCTACATGAAACCTCTGCGATTTGGCAATCAAACGGTGAGTGATTCTTAACTACTTATGGATTTGAGAGAAATTGTAGCTACGCAAATAATATGTTGCAGAAACTTACAAGGAAGCATCGATCAAAGATAACTTCACTTTTGTCACGTAATGCGGCATCAACGCGCTCGCTAAGTATTTTATCATTTGCAAATTATTTCAAGCCAACCTCCCTTTGTTTAAAGGGAAAGATAGTGTCTTGTCTTTTTGAGTTTCGAATCTGGGTAAATTGCGTACCATGTCAGTTTGTACGCGACAGGGATATAACTTTTAGCTTCGCCACGGTTCCACTTTGGAACGATTTGATTAACACTTACTATGAATATCTTATGACCTCTATATTGCTTTGGAGCTGTTGAAGAAGCTCGTTTAACTTTAGAAAGATTCCTTAACTCTCAGGCCACTAACGTGATAAAAGCATGTATAGTGAACTCATTCCCAAACGGTAAATAATCGGATTTAACCACTAACATTTAGATTTCTCAAGGTGAATGTTCGCAAAAAGCGGGTGTCACGTATGCCAAATGACAGCACTTGAGATCTTCAGCTTAACATTTGATGGTAACGATTTTGAAGATTTCTGACAATGTCTTTAATCATTTAAAGTAAGCAACAGAGTACCATGTAATACAAAATTATTGTTGTGATCACCATTACGCAGCTCTTTTTTGTTCCTTTCTTATTGCTTGTTTTAAATAACCATCAATTTTCCTGTACTTTTCCTTCACGCACGTCCGCTTTTATTCCGCAACTACCTTTGGTTGAGACGTATTAAAGTTTCCCAAACATTGTTACACTTCACTGCTCTTGCGACTTTTGCTCTGATTTAAGATTACTTGTAATTTCCTGTTTGTCACGGTTAATATTACTCTTAATGATTTCCTAGAAATCATATTCCACCGACCGGGAAGGGGTCAGGGAGAGTTGTCGTGACGATCCGGGCTAAATGATCCCTAATTCAGAAAAAGTCACTTATCTAGACTTACTATCTCGCTTTGTCATGCTGATTTAGGGGAATTGAATGATTACCTTGGGAATTCCGGTTTTAAAACCAACTCCGAAAAGACAACCTCCCTTAATTAAGCAGCTCAATAAATTGCTAATTAGATCTCGATGTAGGAGCTTGAAACGTATACCCCCAAGAAGAGGCAAGTTCACCAAGACCGCACGTATCCCTTGAAACAAGAACTTATACCTTGGATTTTGATCGGGAAGCTTGTAGCATGAGGTGTTTATCAGCTCAAGTTCTAGATAAACTAATACAAGTTTCGATAGAACGCCGATGAGCAACTGATATATCGAGAGAGGACCTTCTACGATATAGGAAGCATTAAACTTGAATTTGACCGCAAGCTGTAAAAATTCTGCTTTGAACAGAATACAAAGCTGAACCCCTCCGGGAAAATTCAGGATGGTCTTTCATGGTCAGTTATCTAGTAACATCACAGAAGGTCGTGAACGCCAAAAAGTTATTTTTCTGTGCTATGTTACTAAGCATCATGCGTGAGACATTTTGGAAATAACGAAAAGAGATTGGACCAGTGCTGAAGATCACCGATAAACGAACATAGAACCCAAAGAATATTCCTGTATTTCTTCTTTATGGAAATGGTTTTGCTTTCAAGCGACTGAGTCATCGATGGTTTTAGAATCGTAGATGCAAATTCAGTGCTTTTAGAAAGTTTAAAATGTGCATGCATCCCACAGCGAGTTCCGTTTCCAAGACTAATTAGCAGATTGAAGGGGTACAGATTTAGGGCCTGTTTAGTAGTAATTACTTTCAGTTAACAACAAGGTCACTGACCCATTGGCTGATCAAAAATCATGATTTTAATTAATCTTTTCCGTGTTTCATAAACACTGAGAATTTGAAAAGTCCAGCTGTAAGAAAAAGAACGTCAAAGAAACTCGCCACACAAAATATTTCTGCTTTTTTTGCTCATCATTGTTGGCCAATATTAGTCATATTACGTTCCAACGAAACGATAGGACACAATATAAACCTTGTTTTCTTTTTGGGTGACTGAATATTGTCGTCAATGGGTAGGAAACCTTTGAATCGGCAAAATTTGTTAAGGCAGACAAGCAACGAAGAGGCAATGATATACTAAAAGAGAAGAAGGATGAAAAGAATCGTGCTTTTAAACTTTAGGCTAAATTTCACAAAATGCTTCGATCCCTTTAGTTTAGTCTCTATTTGACAAAAAAAATTGTGTAATACACTTGAAAAGTAAGCAGATAGACAGTTGATTTTAGTGATTTAGAGTGAGCAAAAACGTGATATCTCTTTAAGTCGAGACACAAAGAAAGAACCGGAAATCTTATCTGCTTGGATAAATAATATATCAAACCATAAATTTTTTGCTTGATAAGCTTTGATCGCATGAAAAAGGTTGTATGGCGTAGTTACTGCACATAAGTCAGATCTGTGTCTTAACATGATTCAATCTTGTGAAAGTACATTGTCTTCTTTCCCGTCACGCATAATATCCAAAAATCTTTCACGTTCTAAGAAAACAAACTTGGGAGATCACGGATCACGAATATCAAAATCCTAAATTCACGTTTCACAGGAAGATGAATTGCGTCAGGAACACTTCATGTAGAACTGGAAAAGAAGACACTCAGATACTTCAGATGGAAGGTGCAAAAATGGAAATAATTTTATGGAACTGATGAATATTATAGAAGGAAAGATACAACAGAATATTAGAAATTGATCGAAATAACACAAGGGCTAGATTTCTTCTAATATCATGGCACAATTTTACATTTAAATGATTTTTCGTGCCTCCGAAATTCTAATCTTTAATTCAGTAAATTCGATCACCAATGTCTGGAAGTTCGAGAGTTTTGGGGGCATTGGAGACGGAATGGCGATATTGAAAACTTGACACCGGAAGAAAATCTTGTCCTTCAAGAAAAACAACCACTTTGGTCTTTTTAGCCCACGATGCTACCGTGATGAGTCCCTAAAAACAGATTAATTAGGCCCAAATTAAATCACACGCCAAAATAAAAGCCCAATTGGAAATCAAATTACTTCGATGCTGTCACTTCATTGCAATAACAACTCATATAATAACGCCAGTACGTTGATTTCGCGTTTTACTCAAATAAACTCGACCGTCAAGCCGAGCACAGCAAAAACGTAATAAAAGAATATACAAGTGTTTTTATTAAAAAAAATAGTCAGACGGTCAAAACAGAACCACAGTAGGGCGCTTAATTTTCCCCCGCGCAAAAATTGCAGGCGTTATTTGCAAGCGAGCTAACATAACGCGTGGCCATTTCGGTTGTCTCGGAAAAACTTTCCTTTGATATTGCCATAGGTTTGTGTGGTAAATCCATAAAACTGTTAAGATACTTTTGAAAACAAAAAAACACGTTTTTACTCATGTAAGCACGACGATAAGTTACGAAATGTGGATTCTTAAAATAACTTTTGGAATCCGGAATTTGATTTCTCTGATTATTAATTAGTAGTATGAACTCGGAAATTAATCTCGTATCAAATCTAAGTGGCTCTACATCCTTTTGGTGGTAATTTAGTCGTCTGTCAAAACAAAATGAATGTTTTGTCTTTTTTAAAAAGGCCCCAAAGGGAGAAATGCAGCAATTATTGCTTGCTTCTTAATCTTCTCAAACGAATACGTGTCGTTTGAACACGGTGAAGCTTAAATGAGGTCACTCCGAAATCGAAACTGATCCTGACTGAGAGCAAAAAAGGAAGTTGTTTTATTCAATAACAAAAGCTAGAAATAAACTGAAAATAGTCATTTCTGTTCCCGTCTTGTTCCAGTTTACTCGTTCTACACAATCTCCCGGTCGTCTGTTTTCCGTGATCACAAGTCCTGGTAGGCAAAATCCCGTACATGCATTTCCTACTTCCTTTTCCAGAAAGTTGACTCTAGTTTTGGAATACATTGCATCATTTTTTTTATCTTGTGTTTTTTTTTTGTTTTGTTTTTTGTAACCAGTATTCTTTTATTTAAGACAACACTTCAGAGAGAATATATTGCATTGAAGTATCCTCAAGCCTGACTTTTGGAGCAATTTTGCTGGTAAGTTACCGCGACATAAACAAAAACTCTTTCTGCTTCCTCTTGAGTTGGTTCTTAATGTGAAGACGATGTTTCTTTTAGGAGATAAGTCGACACGAAAAGTTGTCTTACAGAATCGAATCCTCGACGAATTAGTTTCAATTACTCGTTTGAAGATATTGATCTATTTAACGTAATATTGTGATTCACCAATACATTGCCGAATATAATTCACAACGAGTGCCAAGAGATTTATTTTTCTTTCAAAGCTTCTCTCGTCAAACATAATGTAAAAATGAGCTGACTCTCCGAGATAAGTTCCTCAAGGACTTGATTCGTAAATTATCCTCGCCCTCCATGACTCTTTGACGGTTTTGACTCAAGCAAAATCAGCATGGTAGCATTTTTAGCGTTAGCAGTGATAATATTCTTCAAGTGGACTGTAATAGTATCTAAGCTCAAAGCTGTAAGTTAAAAGCCACAAACTGGTTTTTAAGGCTCGAAGAAGAAAGCAGAGAAACAGGCAAAGTAAATTGCTTCTTATGGACTTTTTTAGATTTATATTGTGTAAAATATTTACCATCATATATCAGTTCAGCGCAGTCACTGTGCGCGGTCAACAGAATATTGTTTGTTTTTTACGATAACAAAACCATTCGATCCTTTGTCTGAATCAGTTGTAACTTCATCTTTCCGACAATGTTGCAAAAAAACAATTTTATCATGTATAATTAAAAGATAGCAATGCGGGATTGTAAAAAATACATTACATAAAGTTTTTAAACATAGCTGCGGATGTTTTTCTACAGAAACCTAGTAGATGTAATTATTTTGCGAATGTACAGCTGTTTGCAAAAACTTCTTTCTGAAAATTGCTTTGATTTGAAATAAGACTGTATTTGTGGTGAGTCATCTGTAAAATACGATATCGCTGAGGCGTAAGAACTAGGAAGAAGGAAATACTTTTATCCTCAAGATCAGTGTAACCAGAGTTACCCCAAAATAACATACACATCCTTGCTCGTGTTCTTCCGCCAAAATTATATCGGAAATGTTGGGCTCTGTTTTTTTTTCTAGTTCCTGTATTTCGAAGGCCTTACATTTCTCGAAAACGTCTAACATGCCTTCGTCGATTTGAAAAGGGAAAGTGACAAAATATTTCAGTAAACCTTAAAGGTAGTGCACTCTGAAGGAAACACTGGTGTTAGATTCGATCGTAAGGTTCTTTCCTCTTAATAACTTAGAAAATCATTGCAATTAATCGCAAGAGGATGCAACTTTAGACTTTTCGACATCTCGACGTCTCGTTTATCATTCATTCCTATTCAGTCGTGTAACGAGAAACGTTCTCGTAAATTACTTGTATTGCGAGCGATACCATTTGGGAAGACGAAGACTGTTGTTGAAGTGAAGGCGGAAAGCACCATTTTTTATTTGCTGAAACATAATAAAGGTTTGAAACTACAATTTGACAAAGTGATCACTTTGATGAAATAATACTTAATATTTTCTTACCGTGCAGCACTGCGACTAGACAACTACAGTCAGAATTCGAAACGTTGTTCGTTCATCGGAATTCTGCAAGGGGTTCAACCATGTGTTTAGAAAGGAATAGAAGACAATGATGTTTTTTTTTTCTTCTTAAAAAAGAAATGCACTTTTATAATAGAACCAAATATGTTTATCATTTTTCTCTCCGTTCACCGTGTTTCTCGGCCTGAGAGAGCTTGGTACGGCAAAAAATCTTCTCTTCTTATCCTGAATGGAAGTTCGCCATGTTTGATCAACGCCACGTAAGTTGGGGCACTTGTTGTCTTGGTAACGCAGAGTAAAGTCAATAGGGGCTTATCACTTCCTTAGGTTAATTCATGCTGTGAGAAAGGATGGCTTTTTCATTTATGCAATACTGTAAACATGAATTACGTTTTCTTTGTTAACGTTCTCAGTTCACACAGTGATAAACCTAAAACAAGTGAACACGAAATTGGGTAAGTTGCAGAAAAAATTTACGTCTAACACTAATTACTTAACTTATTGGAGGTGAAACTGTTTATGACGAAATTTAAATATCACACGAAAAGAACTTAGCAGCCTCGTGGACCGAAATGGTAAAGAATGATTGCGGATACTTACAAAAAATGATACTCAGAGACTTGGCAATGGAAGAGTTGAACTACATTATATATGAATTTGAAAAACACAAAGTCACTTCCTGGCTTGAGTTGTATTTGCACCACTTAAGATTCTCACAGGGGAATGTTTGTATACTTTCGGAGCTGTTTTACAATGGACTATAATTTCTAATAATTTCTTATTTTCTTCTCTCTTTCTCTCTCTGTCTCTCTCTCTCTCTGATAATCTCACTTCTATACGGTTTACCATTGTTTTCAGTTTTGCAACTTCGTGGCACTTAAGTTTTGTTTCCCAGACTTCTCAAGAAAAACCCTCCCCTTCAAAGGTTCCATTTTTTCAAAAGAATTGTCAGCAAACCCTTAGCAAATTCACACATGTAATTTCTGTGGCTTGGTCCAATTTAATTTTCATGCTTGATTTCAGGACATGGCTAATCCTTGTGTTTCTCTTACTCTATGTTCCACTGAAACATTACTGAAGTGACTTGGTTGGTGACTTCCAATTTTTACTCCTTTTCTTTGAGGTTTCCATCTCATGACCTGTCTTGTCTTAAAAGATTGTTGACATATTCATTTTCTTGGTGGATGGATTGATTCGGCCGATTTGAATAGTCTCTTTTTTCCACTCCATGAGATTTTCCAGACAGGCAAAGGTATGGACACTGCCTCCATGTCACCACTTGTTTGTCAAGGGAGTAAGTTACTGCCTTTTATCCACCTGCGATGGGGCATCTCAATTCCATTTTTATTTCATTAGTCCTTTTTTATTTCCCTTCGGGAAATGATCTTCTTCTGTTTTAACTGCTGGGGACCTAATTCATCAGTGTCCAGTCCTCGTTAACTCATTAAGCTTCTTTTACTTAGGTTTCCTACTTTTCTCATGGCGGAGTGATGAATTCTTTCTCTGAAGAGTCAATTGAAATATCTGATTAGTGTTCTTTTTATTGTCCAAATGCAACTAACGATCACATGTATGGTCGAATATTTGCAGCATTAGACCATAAAGTTTTAAACTTTGTTTTTTATTTTTACTCTTAAGCATAGCAGATTTTGAATGTTGTTTCAGTTCAGTGGCAGACAATTTCTATCCTTTAACTGTTTTTTTTTTTTTCGTATCTACTTAAAGTTTTTCAACTTGTCTTTGAATGAAATTTTCTATTCCTTTTTTGTGAAAAAGTTTTTTGTCCTATGGCATGGCTTGGTTGGACTTGGTAAAGCATGATATGACACAGACTATCCAGTTTTACCTTTGTTTTCATGGAGTGGAGTAAGTTGAGTATTCAAAGTCTTTCCCAGACTTTGATATCCATGGCTGGTTAGAACCTTTAATTTCTCTCACAATTTCATACAGTGCTTTGAACTTCGAATTTCATATCCCGCTTGTAATTGCTCATGTTTGTTATTGGTGTCCAGCTGCACCATAAAGCTTTTGTGTCACGTACAAAACTGTTAATGTTATTGAACAGCCTTTTAAGCACAGGCCGGCTCAATTATTTCGATTCTCTCTTTTAAATTTCCTGTAACCTGTTGTTTTTTTAGTCGTAAAAAGTTCTTCTCCGTCACTTTTTGATGATGTTAGTCATGTGTCTAAACCTGCTTTATTGAGTGAATATTTTGTTGTAACATAAAAGCTTTTAGATCAAGTAACCTTATGGCTTTTGTAGAGCATTCGTGGATTTCCTCGAATGCTACCCATACCCATTTATTTTGTCTGTAAAACGTGAATTCTAGGTTAGAAACACTACAGTATTTGATGGTAGACCTTTGCATAAATAAATTGACTGTTTAATCCAGTTCAAAGCTTTAACTCGGTTAAAGAAATTGTGTTCGGTAATCCAAATCTCCTCGAAGTGTTAAATTGAAAATTGAATGATAAAGCATATGGTAAATTCCCTTCTATCAATGGTTGTACACACAAAAAAATCCAGTTCAGAGCTTCAACTCGTTTAAAGAAATTGTGTTCGGCATTTCAAATCTCCTCTAAAGTGTTAAATTGAAAATTAAGTTATAAAGCATATGGTAAATTCCCCTCTATCAATGGTAGTACACACAACAAAAACGAAAGATCTGTAAAATGCTGTCAGCACGTTTCAAGCTTGTAACTTTAAGCATAGCTAGTGATTTACACACTGTCACCCGACGAGTTAGAATGAATCATTTACTGAAACACAAATGGGGCTTATGGTATCCCGGAGATGGCTTCTGTATAATTTGTAAATTAAGATTTATTTTCGTCTGTAAACACAAGAACTGGCGGAAGTATACGAGGTCACGTCCACTCCAACAGGATATAATCGTGACCAGTTCTTACAAATCTCCAAAATATATCGCAACTCATGTCAGGAGATAGCTGTGGAGACTTGAACGATGTTGCGCAGAGGATATTTACCATGATGTACTGAACCAAATATCAAACATTTAACCTCATCAATTTTAGCTTTGTCAGACACATTTTCAAGACACATTTACACATAATGTGGAAAACTTACTTGTGTCATATGTTTTCGATCGTAAAATTTCCACACAAAAAAAACGCTTCTTGTCAAATTCTAAGATTAAAAAACTGTATCAACGAATCGCTAAGGCTTTCACTTTCGAGTAATACCTCGATTCAGAGTAAACATGAAATGTAGACTTAGGTATACACCCTTAGATACCTTATAAGCAGAATCTATATTTCCGGATCGCAATGTTTCGCTATCAAATCATTACTGTCTCGTTCGTCTGATGAGGGCTATTTCGTTCTCTCGGCCTGCAGAGAACCACAGATGTTCTGTAGAAGATAAGTAGGTCTCAAGGTAGGAAAGGTTTAAAAATTTAACTTACCCGACTCGCACCTGAATGTCGACGGCTAAGTAGAACAACTTTCTTCAAAAGAAATTTGCGTCGATCAAAACAGTGACGGATAAAGTCAGTTGTTGTACGATTTTTATTAGAAGCAATCAGGCTTCAGGATCCTGAGAAAAATCAAATCTTTCTGAAGTGAAATGATGTTTTGCTCATAAGCATACTTTAAAGAAGGCAGCCTATCTTATTTCTCGGTATTTTTCTTTTAATATGATAAACACTACATGAACCTTAAGGAAATTGTTCTTGGTTAATGGTTTCGAGAGTGTACAGTTTGTTATCATCAGGAAGCTGGGAAGGGGTGTCCGGCAGAGTGAAGCAATTCAGGAAGTTATTATTATTCTCCTCGCCAGGAACAGTGTTTCGCATTCAACCATGTTAACTTGAATCCAGCGCTATCACAAGATACATAAACAATGATTCTCCACAATTGTGTAAAAGAAAATACAGTGCAGCTTTAATTTTATCCTCACAAACACACGTTTATCTTACACTGAGACAAGTTACAAACGACTTACTAGTTAGATGGCCGTCAAAAACTCTTTGGGCAAAGAGAGGTAAAGCTTATTGGAAAGGCTTTGATAATCCGTCTAACTACTTTTCTCTTGCATGCCATACTGTGCTGGCGCACTCGTCTTCTCGTCCTACGACAGGCTGTCTTTGTTTTCATGACTGTCTCGGCATAGTCTCTGAGCACCGGGTCGCGAATTACTTATTTTTTTTCCGTCACAGAAGCTGAAACGGCACTCAGACGCTTTTAATAGGACAGACCAGTTTTATTTTTCCTTTAAAGACAAGTCAGAGTCGAATATCATTCCTGCTTAAACGATGTGGCTTGCCTCCCAATTTGATTTCGTGACAATCGCCTAGTCTTCCTATGCTAAAGTCAATCGTTTTAAGCCTGGTAACCAATATACAAGTTACCAACTGGCGAGGTCTAAGCTGTTGTAGTTCCTTAGCTTCGCACGACAGCTTCAGAATATTTTGTCTTTTTTAGCAGTGAGACAGTGACATCTCCGTAAATAAATCGTTGAGATAATGATGGATTAAAAATAATAAGAATAAAGAAAACATATCAGGGCCCAATTGTTCGAAGGCCGATGAGAGCTAACCCAGGGTTAAATTTTAATCCAGGTTTCTATATTTCTCGGTTTAAACTCCTTTTTGTGATAATTTTCCTTATTCTTTTTATAGCATCAAATTATCAAATTGTAGACAAAAATAATAAACGCAGATTTTCTTTTAAAGCTTTCAGATCTGTAGTCAAATTTCACACTAACCCTGGGTTATCTGAAACCAGCATTGAACAACCCAGCCTAGGGTGTAATTGTCGAGGGGGAGGGGAGGGGAGGGGGCAGCTATGCTATAAAGTTTGAATGTAAAATGAGAGTATACCAAGTTATTTATACAAATCATTATTTATTGCTTTATCATCAATAAATAATAAAGTAATAATGGTAATAATAATACTAGTCATTACGGATATTTGTACAAGATAGTCCTTCAATAACTAAGTAATTTATCAAAGGGATCCTGTTCAAATTTATTTAATTTATTTATTTATTCATTTATTTATTTATTTAACGATTCGCCAAAGGCAGGGAAATTTACAATAGAAAAAGGTTGTCCCCTACTGGGTAAATTACCTTACCCTACCCCTAAAAGCAGACAAAATGAAACCCAACCCACTTACAAGCCCCCATGCTAACAAAAAAAAACAGTTGGTTAACATGTCCAAGAATTTGAAACGACGCCATTTTACACAAACTAATTTAAAGGACGGATGTCGTCTTGATTGAAAACTTTGCTAAGTCTTAGATGAAAGAAAGATTTTAGTTTTTTGACGAAAGACGGTAGTTCCTTTTCTGTCTCGTATCCAGACCTTTTACGGCCAAGTGGTTGTTCATTTCAGTTACACGGTAGGATCTGGGCACGAGATTAAGGACTTCCTAAATAAAACCCATCGGGTATTGCTTTGTTAACGAATATACTGTTAATCGAAAACAGCAGGGTTTTTATTCATTTTTTCTTCTAATTAAATTAGGCCGCACAATTTTTACTTAATTCTATTTTACCTATAATATTGTTTATGGAGTTTTTACCCCTTAAGTTTGCCCCCCCTCCCACACCACCTTTTCGAGTTCGCCCGCTGAAGTAAAGGGAGTTCGCGTAAACCTTTAACTAGTTTACAGCCGAATCTTTTTCAACTCGTTTCCATGATGCGTACATATTTCTTTTCTGTCGAGATCGTATGTTTCGAGCAACACATACGCATGATTTGAACACAGTATATTCTATGTAAGGAAACAGTTGAAACATTCTGCGGGTAAACTGGTAAAGGTGGGGGCAACTTGTTTTATATGTTGCAGGGGGAAAAATTACTATGGGGCAAAACCTACATATAGGACTGTAAGATTAAAGTATTACTTTATTTATTACTAAGCACTATTGCTCAAATAGTGCTTTACTGCGAAGGATCGTTCTCATATACGTCTCATAACCGCAGTTCACACATATGTTTCATATGTTTGTTGTTGTTTAAAGTATTACTTTGACGTACATGTGACTAAACTGTATCATCTATCACACAAAGAAATATGAATAGCTTTGTTGTTGCTTTTTTTTTACAGATAAAGAAACATTTATGACACTGTGCTACAATCTTGTAACCAGGCGTCCTCTCCCATTTGAACAACAGTCTTTTTCGATTATTGAAAATCACCCAACAACTGCAGCTCTTTCGTTATTAAAGATGGCTGAAACGGGTGGTATGTATTTTTTCCCATTTCAAGTATATGTATATAGGAGGGCAGAAAGACTTAAATGGAGGGGGATTGGAGAGAGAGAGAAAAGGTTCTTTGCGTACAACCCTTCCTAGTAACTTACTGTTCCGCTAGCACTGGTTCATTAAATTATTGATTAATTATTAAAAAATTCCAAGATTTTTCTTACAAATGGATGAGTGACTTTTTCCATGAAAGCAAGAGGAATAATTGACTCTAGCTTTAAGTTGAACCCCATTTTGGTTTGTTCGTCCTAAAGTTGTTGAACGTCCGACTTGAGCGAGAGTCGGACGTCTTCCGAGGTCCGACTTAAGTTAGAGACACTTCTGGTAAAGATGTAAAATTTCCTTTGTTCTTCGGTACTATAGCCTAAAAATTTAAAAAAAAATGGTTTTCAGGCTTAATTAATGCTTTAACAAAGGCAGTGCTTTTATTTTGCACGAGCTATTATCAACTTATACTATTTAACAAGGTTTCGAAAAATATCGTCATCTTCCTTTGTCTAGTAAATCAACTATGGGTCGAAACCGACGTTTTCTTGAATAATTGATCTTCAAAATGCTGACTAATTAAAGCTAACGTCAATAATGACGTCTTTAAGGTGCTTTTAGAACATTTTTTTATTTGAAAATTTTGCTTGTTTGCACCAAGTAGTGGTTTTTCTTCACCATCCTCCGCACAGTTCTGCATTTACTTACAGGCTAAATAAGATCAGATCTCAATGTGCGAGTAGTGTGTATGTGTGTGTGTGTGTGTGTGTGTGTGTGTGTGTGTGTGTGTGTGTCTGGGAATCTAAAAGAGCGCATGCGTGCTCATTTTCAGTCAGCGCTTAAATGCGGCACCTAAATAAAATGGATTAACATTTCTCTTAATTTTGCTGTTCTTTTTCGGTATCATTTTGTGTCCTAATTGCAGTTGTGTTCATGTGAAAATACTGCTAACCGATAAAAAAGCGAACTTCATTATGAGGCTTTTAGTCTGCTTTTAGTCGGTACACAATTTGAAATAATTCAATTTGAAATTGGGAAGAGGAAATAAAAATTACAGTTTGCGAAGGAAACACGATTGAAGTGACACCTTAAAAATTGATTGAAACCAAACACAACACACTCTTCCTCGGATGAAATTGAACAAAGACGTAAACAGTAATAGCGAAAAATCATCAAAATCTGTTGAGATGAAAAATAATCGCAGCTAAACGAAGAAAATTTAACGCCAAAACAATACGAAGAAGGAAACAAAACCTTCAAAACACAGAAACGGTAGGACACTGAGATTATCTTAACATAGAGAATTTCAGGCAGCTTTCAATAGCACTCCACAAACGGTTCATTTTTTGTCGCTTCAGTATGATAATATTCCGGGTTTAAAAAAAGGAAAATAATCGTCCATCGTGTTTGTCAGGAAGCCAACAATAGGCGCAAACGAACGTCATTCGCGTTCTATTTCACCGAATGGCAGCTGAGTGCGTAGGAGACTCGCGCAAGGTTTTAATATTTTGGTTTAACTTCCTCCTTCTCGACCTCCTTCCGATCATTTTCACTAATAATGTTTCCTCTCCAAAATGATTTAAAGCGGGCTCACTATCCTTTTATACAGAAGAGTTTTCTGTTCGACGTAGTCCTTTTAAAACGAGTACAAGTTCACTTGAAAAACATCACTTTCTGTGGAATTTGACATGGCGAACATATTGAAGAAAACTTGCCCAGGTAAAGAATGGAAAAAACCTCTTAAATTTGATTTGTCTTTTAAAATTCAAAAAAGAGGATTTTTAAATTGTTCGAAAGGTCAAATGTGGGCACTTTTAGCGTCTGGAATATGATGGCCCGCACGTTCGACTATACAACGAAAAACAAGGTGGTTATGTTGACATTTCGGATTCTTGAAGGTTTGCCTAACAAAAATCGAAAACATAATTTTTTACTTTACTTTAAATGCATGTGGTTTTTTTTTTATTTTCTTTTTATTTCCCATGAGAGGATAGCTGGTGTGAATATGTGGTATCTATAGTGAGGAAGTCGATTTATGTAAAGTTCGTAAATGTCTGAAGGTGTTTTGGTTGCAAGTCTCCTTCATTAACAAAACCCACAAATTTTGCTAAGCCCTTGCTTTCAAGGAACTTCTATAGATTTTAAAGATCAGGTCAGATCAGATTTTCTAAGTTTCAGCTTTAAAGCATAACTTGGCATTTATAATGAAACACAGCGTTCTTTGATTCTGTCAAATTAATGTTTGTAAAAGGAGAAAAAAAATTAACACAATCGCTTGGTAAAAAATAATGAGATGAGAAGAAAGTATAGAAGGATTTTTGAATTTGGAAAGAAAATTATCTAAACTTTCCCCGATGTAAGTAACCTCACTGATGTTAAAACTAACGAGAGTGCTACAGTTCATATGTGACCGATTTAAAGAGGACTCATTCATAGAAAACTTTTCCATTGTTTTGAGTGTCATTCCGTATTAATTGGAAACAATGTTTTCAAGTATATCGAGGTGTAAACACTGCATGTGTGGGCGAGATCTGCGTCATTAACTTCGTAAAAGACGCGGTTAGGAGGTATTAAAGCTGCGCTCCTTTGTTTGCCTCGTGTTGGAATAAATTATGTAAACATTTCCGCTTTTTTTTTTTAAATTACAGTTTCAGATTCTCTCCCCAAGAAACGGGGAACATCCCGTAGTGCTGTCCACTTGTGGGAGTTTTTGTTGGAGCTTTTAGCAGACGAAAGATATTCTTCGCTGATAACGTGGACAAAACGGGAAAATGGAGAATTGAAACTTCGCAATCAGGAAGAAGTTGCGAAGCGCTGGGGTGAGCTGAAACAACGACCAGGAATGAATTATGATAAACTAAGCCGGGCCCTCAGATATTATTATCAAAAGAATATCATCAGAAAGGCAAGTGGAATTGTTTTCTTAATAATTTGTCTTGAAAAAGGAAAATAACAAATATGAAATTTAATTCAGTTTTCGTCGAGAAAGGAAAAAACATAAGGAAATCCTAGTCTCCATAAAGATTCAACTTTATGGTCCTTTTTTCCTCTTTTCATATCTTGATATGTTGACTTTACGTTTTTTCCGTATCTTAAGGGGAATATGTAAAACTCTTAAGGGGTCTGCACCAACCGTGATGATTTTTAGTCGGTTGGAATCAATAACAAAATTCCCTGAACTCGTTTTATAGTTACCGGACACAAATAACTCTTGTCAAATGTGCTGCTAAAGGAGATGCAGACTTGCTATTGTAGCCTTTTACGTCAAGAAAAAGTCACAACTTGTTAAGAGTCGGCAGTTATTTAATACCGTTTCAAAGAAACAAACTAAAACAAGTGTATCGATTCGTAAAACAATTTTAAGCCAAATCAAGGAGAGCCTATACTAATGTCACACTCTGTATCTTCTATTTAAAAGTTTTTTTACGTTAAAATGACAGGTCAGTGGCCAACGGCTAGTCTACAAATTTGTAGATCTACCGTATAATTACAAGCCAATCAAAAATCTTTATGACAGTGGAATTCTGGAGAAGCACGACGAAACCAAACCTACAGAGAAGTACCAGAAGACCTCTTCTACACGAGAAGTCTTCCAAGTAATTTCTCATCCAAACTACATAACGACTCAAAACATCCCAAACTTCACAGATCCACAGGAGCCAATCAGAAGCAGGCATGATGTTCACGTGTCTCCTGTACGAAACGTGTGTTACTTTAATGAGGCGAGTCATGGAAAAAGGCACATTTCAGTGCCTGTTATCATGAAATGTGGTCATCCATCAGCTCTACCGCAAAAGGTGATCCCGGCCGATGGCCATGCGCTTGCATAAAAATTTTAGTCGGGTTTAGCCTGTCATAGTAGAGTAGTTTGTTGTAAACCGTAGGGATAATCATGTAAGTGTCACGCATTCTTTCATAAGTTTGGGATAGAACAGATGTAACGCAACATTTAAGAAGACACGCGGGTCACGATGCTCTTTGGGAAAGACAGCGTACTGCTGTTTTTAAGAATCGTTACAGTTTACTTCGTTCACAGTCTCTTCAACTGTTTTTACAACATTTATTAAATCATTCCTTATAGTTGTAAGATTTTTACATCATTGATTAACTCATTCCTCTTTAAGTTGTATAATTTTCGAAGATTCATGTCCTCTAAAACTAGTGTTGATTATTCTTTGTTAAAACTTTCGTAGGGTGATCTAGCTTTAAAAGTGTGGTAAGAAACATGAGTAAGTTAGCATGTTAGCTGTAGCAGGTGCATCGAGATCTAGGATCTGTTTTAGCCTTGTTTTCTTTTCGTGTTTGGAAAAATACGGTTAAACCTTTCTAGTACTGTAAAGGTTATCAAAAACCTGTAAGGGGGGGTATCGACCTCCCTTGTGATCAGAGCGTTCTCAATTACCACCCGCTACTTTAAAAAGTAATAATATATTTGGCAAGTCCTTCAAAACGTCGATCAAATAAACGTTTTGAGATAGCTCCCCTCCTCCCCCCTCCTCCTCCCCTCCTCCCAACCAACACGTATGGAAGTAGGGCAATTCAGAACTAGTTTTCACGAAGGAAGGGGGGGGAAAGAGGGAGGGATGCCTATGCGTGTTTGATGATCGAGAAAATATTTTCTGAGCGTTAACTGTCAACATCTTATCATTTCTAGTTTGCTGTCAAATAGATTATAAAAAGTAGACTTTTATTGTACTCAGATCTTTATTCCGTATGATATTATCTTTTTAGAATTCTCAGCCTTAAATTTTTCTACATGCTATCTTCGTATCAGAGTAGTTGTCATAAATTAGTTTTTTCTTAGAACAATTTTTCATAACTGGAGGCCAGAATTATTATTTTGTGTTAATATACTGTCAGCATGTTCCACGCGTTCAGTCCATAAAACAAAGTCCGATCGTAAAAGACGCTATAGCAGCGAAGGAGTGGGAAAAGCGAGAGAGGTTTGGATTGAGTCGCATCGATCGTCGTTCTTTACTCAACTCAACCCAAACCTCCGTCGCTTCTTCACTCTGCCGCAACTATCACCACGTTTCCTTTTTCGCTCTGTTTTACTGAGTGAATAGCTGGAACAGAGTAATATGCTGTAAGAGGAGAATATAGATTCAGATTAATTAACAGAAAAATCGTTTCGGAAGGAATATATATGGATATATAGACACGACAACGTGCTCTAGATGTACGATTTCAATCATTTCAGTTTTTAGATAACATTTCAGTGCATGCAGAAAAGCAGCGTTGGTTTTTCCAGCTTTAATTTTTTGTATCTCACAAGGTAACTCGTGTAAAGATGTAACTTGTTTTAGCTGTCAAAATACAAAAAGGCCTTAAAAATAGTGGTACCTAAGTACAATAAAGAATTTTTTCTGGGAGTAAAGAAAATATGTTATCCAAGGTTTAATGGCGACAAACGATTGGAGACACGGACGTTCATTCATCTCCAGTGTCCGCACAAATTATTCCCAAAATATATTCTAAAAGCTTTCCCTCGTTGATAGCTTGTGTTTTCCCCAAACGCATTAACAACCACACTACTCGAATACTCTTTTAACTACATTAAAAATGACACAGAGCGACGTAGCCGTCATGGCCTTTTAAGGCAGGTTGAATGATTAAAGTAAATTTAAGCCTGGTAAGGATGGAGAACAGCAACGTGGTTTATAAACAAACCCAACAAACAAACTCAATGATACGGTAGCACTGATGATATTCGCATCCTAATGAAGACCAGAGGTTACTGGCGCAAGGAAGCAAGAAAAACCGGTGACCCTATCGTTTGGCGTACTTACCGAGAACTAAGGCAGGAAGTAAAGCGTGAAATTAAAAATGCTGAGAAAGAATTCTTTGCTGATGAGGTTCTAAAACATCCTAACAACACCAATAATATCTGGAAAACGATCCGGCAATTTATCCCCACTTCCACAAAACGAACAGAACTCTCAACGCTAATTACTTTGAGCCAAGATTCCACCCTCTGTCCGATAAACTTACACTAAATACCGCGGAGAGCAAACAAATTGAAAGCATTGTAGCGTCAATGGCTTCTAAACAGTCTCCCGGGATTGATAAAATCCCCATTCGTGTTATCAAAGACTGCCCTACACCGATCCTCTCCACAATCACCTCTCTAGTTAATTGTTAAATTGAAACGTGCACCTCTCCCTCAGAATGGAAAACAACCGGAGTGATACCAATTCCTAAAGAAGGCGACAACGAAAAGGCGACTGACGCTGTGACAGGCCTATTTCACCTCTTCCATTTTTATCTAAAATTTGTGAAAGGACTGTGCATAATCAACTTTGTTCTTATTTACAAGTAAATGGCAGAATGACAAAAACTCAAATTAATGGTAACAAAAAATTGCATTCAACTGAAACTTCGCTTATTGAAATGACTGACACAATTTTGAAAGCCATTGACAAAAAGATGCTAACTGCAGCCGTATTCTCAGATATGAGCAAAGCGTTTGATAGCGGGAATCATGAGATGCTTATTTTAAAACTACAGGATATCGGCGCCTCAAGTTCTACTCTTCACGGTGGTTTTGTAGCTACCTTAGCAACAGGAGACAAGCAGTGCGAATTAACTCAACACTATCTGAACCTCTTCCCGTGACTTGTGGAGTTCCACAGGGAAGTATCTTAGGCCCCTCGCTCTTCAGCGTTTACACAAACGATCTTCTCTTGGTGCTGAAAAGGTGTAGCTCCCAGAGTTATGTAGACAATACGAAGCTCATCATCCCTTTTCAACTAAAAGATACAGTGCATGCTGTAACCGATTTAAACATTGACCTTCTTCAAATTGCCGAATGGTGCTCTAATAATTATCTTTTATAGAGCCCAAGTAAAACCAAACTGATGGTGTTTGGGAGCAGACAAATGCCCTCAAAGTTAGGCCCCTTTTCGCTCCACTTCATGGGAAAGGAACTCTTCCCTGTTAACGCTGTGAAAGACTCGAGCGTATTTTTAGACCCTAATCTAGCCTTTGACGAACGCGTAACCAAAACTGTATCTTCCTATATGCATCGACTTAGTCAAGTTAATCGTACCAAGCATATTCTTAATAAACATACCCTTCTTAGCAAATTTTTTTATTGTTCACGTGTATGGTCGAATACCTCCAATACGAAATTACAGAGCACACAGAACTTCGCCTGCCGCATTGTTTGTGGTGCGCGCAAATACGACCATGTTAAGCCTCTTCTTAAAGAACTCAGCTGCCTCCCAGTGGCAAATAAACTATATCTTCGCGACGCCATAATGACTTTCAAATGTATGACAGGACGAGCCCCAAAACAACTCTCTTCCCAATTTATCAAACGCGAGGAGGTTAGCAGTCGTAAGACAGAAACTGCCAAATGTTGCATATTCCCCTCTTTAAAACTAGTCGTGGTCAAAAGACCTTTCATTTTAGGTCAGTTGATATTTGGAATAATCTTGAGCACTCTTTTAAGATTTGTGATTCCACACACGTTTTTAAGCATCGCCTAATTAATAAGATACGTGATAATTTTGTACAACAACAACAACAACTTTATTTGCTCCCCTGAATTAAATTAAATTTACATAACAAAAAAGTAATAAAACAAAGAAAATAAAGTGTAGGGCTACCAAAATAACCATCAGGCTTAGCAGCCATCCTTAGGATTTTAAATACTGTAATGACTAACAGTGTCAGGTACTAAGACTTCTTGAAATAATACATACAACAAACACAGAAACACACAAACAAAAACTAGTTACAAGCTAAAAATACAAATTAGCGAAAAGAAGCAGGAAAATACAGTATGTATAGGCAGATTAACTAACGGAAGAAAGAAAATGTATGGTATAATTAATTCAGTCAGTAATTTACAAGGATAATTGATTTTAACTTTTTCTTAAATTCATTAAGTGATAGAAGCTTAATGTCATCACGGATTGCATTCCAAACCTTAGCGGCTTGATATATAATATTGAAAATACCATAGTTTGTTCTTGTCTTTGGCAGAGCATAAGTCATTCTAGAGGAAAGCCTTGTATTATAATTCTGAGTTTCTTTTACTGAAGTGAAAAAAACATTGAAATTAGTGGGAAGAAGTTGGTTTTTAAATTTGTACATAAAAACCGCAATGTGAACAGTTACTTCCTCAAATAATTTGATAACATTTAAATCTTTGAAAAGTGGGCTTGTATGCTCTAAGAAGCCAGAGAATGTTATGATTCTAATGGCTTTCTTTTGCAATACAAACTGAGAGGCTGCGGAGGAGTTTGATAAGTATTGCCTCAAGCTATTATACAGTATGTCAAAAATGGATATACAAGAGCATAGTATAGGTCCAGTAAGGTTTTGCTATTAAGATAATAGCGAAGTTTTGATAGAGTGCCTATACAACTATTGTATTGTCATTATTAAATTGTATTGTCATGGTATATTGTATTTATTTAGGATGTTGTCTTTGAAAAGCCTCATTGGGGAAAGTCAATAAAGTATGTATGTAAATGAGAACTTAATCATAATAAGCTAAGGTGTAAAGAATTATCGATTCATGCTCACATATTGTGCGCAGCACAGCACCATAGCTAAGGAAATTTGGCAAATTATCCAGCCGAAAACATTTGGTCGCGACGTCGGTGTCAAAAAAATGATTTTTGATGTTAGACACTAGTGTTCAATTAAAGACACTATTGTCCAAGTTTAGACTCTAATTTTCTATTTTGGACGATTGTATCTGGTTTAATTATTTCTACTATAGTGTCTGAGGCTAGACACTAGTGTTCTATTAGTATAAAATCGAATTCATTATACAATCTTAGGTCTACTGGTAAGCTCTTATTGGACCATCCCAAGGGAAAGATGCTTACAACATTGGGAGCAAGATCTTTCTCAGCAGCAGCTCCGAAACTCTGAAATGGCCTACCTATGGAGCTTCGTCAAGTAACATCACTTAACAGTTTTAAATCTCGACTTAAAAGTTATCTTTTTAAGAAATATTTTTATAGTTTGTAACTTAGTTCATTTTATTCTTACAGTAATGTATTTTTGCTTAAACTTATGATTGTAAAGCGCTATTGATCAGCATATGTAAATACGCGCTATATAAATTGGTAAATTATTATTATTAAATTATTATTTAACACATTAAAGTATCATATTAGACGCCAGTGTCCGATTTTAGACATTAGTATCAGATTTTATGACTTGAACACTTATGTCTTATTCTAGACATTAAGGGTCTGAAAAGCTTTCTATCGTTCTCGTGGTTCTTCAGCACTTCCCAGTTAGACCCGTCTAATGACCCTTCGAGCTTCCAATTACGGAGGAATGAGTTGCCGTCTTCCAGCCCGTGTCTTAGAGTATAATGTGTCAAGTACAATGAGTATTTCTCACTCAAGGTAACACACCACCATGATTCATTCTCATCTTTGGTACTGCTTTCCTTCCGCGTCTTGTAAGAATTATTAAGCAGATTACTCGCCGAGCCTAATTTGTCAGAAGATCTTGTGGCAGTTACTCTTGTCGAGAGATCGCTCGGTTTACCCTACCAGATTTTCCGAAGCTCGAACCCATCGCATAGATAACTCCATTATTGTCAAAATCCTCTTTGTAATGAAAAACACCTGCAATAAAAAAACAAATTAAGCGAATGAAAAATGTCTCCGGTGGACCCCAGAAAGTAAGATAAGCTCCTCGGTTATTAACTTGAATGATGGTGAAACCACTCTACGTTTACCATTACTTCTCATGTTTCATTTTCCGGGTCTGGTTTCTTTAACAGAAATCTGAGCTCGACTAGTTCTAGCTCCTTCGCATCAAGCCGTGACTTGTGTTCCTCTTTTTCCATCTCATCTGATTTGTCTTGCAGATTTCCGAGCCTAGAGTTAAGGTCTTTTCTTTGTTCTTCGCAAGTAAAAACAAAAAAACTCATCATTGGTTGATCAAAACTGAGGGGAAAATCAGATATCTTCAAGTGAAGAAATGATTGTGGTACACTACCTGGAAACTAAGTAATTGCTCAAGAGAATTCCAACCGGATACCAAATCCGAAAACCCGTCAGTATTTTCGACGAAAAGCGAAAACCAAAGGCTAAGAAACGGAAAATCCGCCAACCGCGATGAACACCATAACAGAAAAATCTTATTTTTTCTTGAAACGAGTTATTCTAATTTTTAAAAACAAACAAACTCATCATCAATCAGAACAGATGACGTTCGCTTACCAAAAACATTGAGTATACTTACGTTTTAGCCTCTTCTTTTCGTCATCCCAATCCTTCCACGACTGGTAATTATCTTTCAGACTTTTTCTAAAATCCGATGCTTGTTTCTCTAACAGGTCTTTGATCTCGGCTAGTTCTTGCTCCTTCCGATCAATCTTAAACTTCTGTTCCTCGTTTTCTTTT